TTTCTCAGGTTCAGTTTCCTCTTCTATAAGGTGGAGCTAATAATACTTAATAAAGAATTGTGAGATTTAAATGAGATTTTGTGCGTAAACTACATGGTGCACAGTATGGACTCACTAAATGGTAGCTATTTGTTTTGTGCCGTCGAGTCGGACCCGACTCATAGCGACCCCTCCTTGGGTTTCCAAGGCAGTGTCATTACGGAAGTAGATTGCCTAACCTTCCTTCCGAGGAGTGGCTGGTGGGTTTGAACTGCCAGTTTTCTGGTTAGCAGTCAAGTGCCTTAGGCACCATGCTAACAGAGCTCCCTGTATTCTATTATTTCCTTCCATATCTGACAACACATGGGGTCATATGAATCTTAACTTACTTGATAGCAATGGGTTTGGTTTTTGGTTTTATCTCTATCAGTGCTACTCAGATATTTTTTATGGTAATCACAATAAGAAATTTGTTGACCCAAAACAAAAGCTTCTTTAACATTTTTTATACTTACTAGATACGATCATCTCTAATATATCAGTTGTAAAATATTTCTAAAAAAAAAAGTGACACCTAAGAAGTTGAAAGAAGTTGATTTTATGAATGAATTGTAACCTAAAATTTCTCCATCAATATCTAGTTGATATTTTGTAACAAATAAGAATTCTGGGAAAAATTACATTTTCTGTATTTTATAAGACTATACATAAATTTTAGGCTGTTACAGTGTGAGTAACACAGCGTTAATCTTATGTTACAAGGAAGTTGACTAACTAGAATACTTCTCAAGATAGATATCTGATCTATCTTGGTAATTATTACTTACTATACTGCTTTTTTTTCCCCCAATGATCAGAAAGTTTCATCTTCTTAATTTTTCCATATAGCAGATTGAATAAAATATTATTTTATTAGTGGGAATGTATATATATAGAAAATGGAGGAGACAGGACCCAACCTCCCAGTTAGAAAAGGGAGAGAATCACTGGGGAAGACAAAAGTGGCAGAATCCAGGTAGGAATTAGGTAAGGCGGGGGCGGAGAGGTGTCCAACAGCTAAAGGAGATGAACTTGTCTGTCATTTAGTCATCCTGTGGTGGCTTGTGTGTTGCTGTGAGGCTTGAGGCTGTGCTATCAGTGTTTCAAAAACTAGCAGGGTTGCACATGGTGCACAGCTTTCAACGCAGCTTAAGACTGAGACAGACTAAGAAGAAGGAAGAGGCTATCCACTTCTCAAAGACCTGGTCAGGAAGAACCTTATGGATAGCAGAGAAACACTGTCTGATACATTACTGGGCAACTTTATTAATAGTCTGGAAACATTGTCTGATACAGCACAGGAAGATGAGCCCCTTAGGTCGGAAGGTACTCAAGGTCCGACTGGGAAAGAGCTGCCTCATCAGAGTAGAATCAAACTTAATGATATGGGTAAATTAAATCTCGTGGGACCTCCATTTGCTGACATGGCACGACTCAAATTGAGGAGAAACAGCTGTAAAAATCCTTTAATAATCAGAACATGTAAAGTATGAATCTAGGAAAACTGGAAGTTGTCAAAAATTAAATGGAATGCATAAAGATTGATATCCTAGGCATTAGTGAGTTGAAATGGAATGGTTTTGGCCATTTTGAATCAGACAGCCATATGATCTACTATGCCGGGAATGACAGTTTGAAGAGGAATGGCATGGCAGTCATCATTACAAAGGATGTTTCAAGATCAATCCTGAAATACAGTGCTGTCAGTGATAGGATAATATCCATATGCCTACAAGGATGACCAGTTAATACTACAAATTTATGCACCAACCACCAAAGCCAAAGATGAGGAAATTGAAGATTTTTATCAACTTCTGCAGTCTGAAATTAGCCGTACATGCAATCAAGATGTGTTGATTATCACTGGTGATTGGAATGCAAAAGTTGGAAACAAAGAAGAATCACCAGTAGTTGGAAAATTTCACCTTGGTGATAGAAATAATGCTGGAGATCACACGATAGAATTTTGCAAGACCAACAACTTATTCATTCCAAATACCTTTTTCAACAACACAAATAGTGGCTATACATGTGGACTTTGCCAGATGGCATACATAGGAATCTGATTGACTACATCTGTGGCAAGTGGCAATGGAAAAGCTCAATATCTTTAGCCAAAACAAGGCCAGGAGCTGATTGTGGAACAGACTGTCAACTGCTCATATGCAAGTTCAACTTGAAGACAATTAAGTCCACTAGAGCCAAAATGTGACCTTGAATATATCCATCCTGAATTTAGAGACCATTTAAAGAATAGATTTGATGCATTGAACACCAGTGGCCATAAACCAGAGGAATTGTGGGATGACATCAAGACCATCATCCATGAAGAAAGAAGGAGATCATTAAAAATACAAGAAAGAAAGAAAAGACCAAAATGGATGTCAGAAGAAACTCTGAAACTTGCCCTTGAGCGAAGGGTAGCTAAAGCAAATGGAAGAAATGACAAGATAAAAGAGCTGAACAGAAGATTTCAAAGAATAGCTCGAGCAGACAAAGCCAATTACTATAATTAAATGTGCAAAGACCTGGAGTTAGAAAACCAGAAGAGAAGAACATGCTTGGCATTTCTCAAGCTGAAAGAACTGAGGAAAAAATTTAAGCCTTGAGTTGCACTATTGAAAGATTCTACAGGCAAAATATTGAATGATGCGGGAAACATCAAAAGAAGATGAAAGGAATACACAGAGTCACTGTACCAAAAAGAACTGGTCAATCTTCATCCATTTCAGGAGGTGGCATAGGTTCACGAACCAGTGGTATTGAAGGAAGAAGTCGAAGCTGAACTGGAAGAATTGGTGAAGAACAAGGCTCCAGAAATTGACAGAATACCCATTGAGATGTTTCAGTAAATGGATGCTTTGCTGGAGGCACTTACTCAGCTTTGCCAAGAGATTTGGAAGTCAACTGCCTGGCCAACTGACTGGAAAAGATCCATATTTGTACCCATTCCAAAGAAAGATGATCCCACAGAATGTGGAAATTGTCAAACAATATCATTAATATTGCATGCAAATAAAATCTTGTTGTTGTTGTTGTTATGTG